ATCTTAATTTTGGTAGATAATTTCCAAAAAAAAAAAAAAAAAAAAAAGCTTGCCAAATTTACATTCCCCCCAACAGGGCTACGGAAGTGCCAACAATGGATATCATTAAACTTAAAAAACAAAACAAAACAACAAAAAAACAAGCCTATCTGATGGATTTTAAAAAAAAAGGGACACGAATATCTTTAAGTTTAAAGCTTTACTTTTTATGTGCACCAAAATTTATACTTTCAAGGTGTCTTCTCTTTAAGTAGCCTTATCAACCTCACTGCGGGGGAGAAGGAGGCAGAGTGAGGTGAGGTAAAATGTGATTAGATCTAGAACTGTGGTTTGCAAGGCAGCGTAGCTTACTACCTAAGAACAGGACCCAAAAGCCTCATCTGGAGCCTCCCCTCTCTAGGTGACTCGTGGGGGCAAATGAGGCTGGTCACATAACCCTCTCTTTGACTCTTATGGGGCAGCTCATACCAGAAACAGGATCAAGACTGTCTGGGTCTAGTAATGCAAAGGGACTTACTCAAATCATCAGTTCAATCAACTGACATTATTTAGTACACCTAATGTGCCAGGAAATTTATTCTCCTAGGTCTTACTTCTCCAAATGACAGTTTGCCCTTTGTTCAGTGGCTTGTGGAGAGACTCAACTCTGCACTTCAAAGAGCACTGAAGAGGATATCCCAGAGGCCAGTTAGCATTATGGGAATTTCCCTGGTTTTGTTGGTAATAGTGTGGCATAGTGGAAAGTCCATGAGATGAGACAAAGGACTTGGGTTTTAGTGTCAGCTACTCTTGTCGTGTGTGACTATCATCCAGTTACCCTCTGTGAATCCATTTCCTTATCTTTAAAGCACAGGTGATAATATCAGCTTTGTCTACCTCACAGTGTTGAGAAAATCAGTGAAATGATGGAAGTGAAAGAACCTTGTAAATTCTGTATATCCACATGCAAGTGATGAATTACCATCATTTGTGTGGATAACCCAGCTTTTGGTTGGCATGTTAAAACAGTTGTTCTATTCAAAAGCAAAAATGTTATTTGGTTTATTGATATAATTGGACACATATGGTATGATGAAAGAAGACATATTTAAGGGAATTCCAAAAAAGAAATACAGAAGGTATGGCAAATTTCAGAACAAGTTGATTCCCATCACTGCCTTGAAGACTGTGTAAAGGATGACTCTGAAGCCAGATGTCCAATCCTTCAAAGAAAGTGTGCCATAGTTGATTAGCAATGTCTGCCATGGGAACAAGATATGAGCAAATCTTTCTGTATTTGGCATCTCCATTCTTGACTTCACTCCTCAAAACAACTCTGACATAGATTATACATTCCCCATTCAACATAATCACTAGATTGAAAATTGGCTTTATTACTAAAAAATTAAAACACTTTATGGAGTAGGAAGTAAATTATCAGGCATATTTTTATATATGGGCAGAGGATGGAGGGATTTTATATATAATCTAGTTTAGGTCCCTCGTTTTACAGATAAGGAACCAGAGGTCCAGGAGTAGGAAGTAAATTATCAGGCATATTTTTATATATGGGCAGAGGATGGAGGGATTTTATATCTTATCTAGTTTAGGTCCCTCGTTTTACAGATAAGGAACCAGAGGTCCAGAGAGTGAAAGGGACACTGCTCTCACCTTATGATATTAAATGAAATAACAAATGTGAAAGGCCATTGAAAACTACAAAGCTATATGCAAATGTAAAGAATTTTTATATTCTTATTAATTTCTTTATCATGTTTCTTGTTTATGCACAATTATTAATTTCTGCTCAAAAGTGACTTCCCAACCTTAAATCCAGCCTGACCTTGTCCTTTTTTTCTTGTGTTTATACCACTGATATCTGAAGAAGCTCAGTTAGGGAGTCCTTGAATTAAAAAGCTTACTGTACCAATTGGTAGTGTCTTTTAGGACCTGTGGTTGGAAAGTGATCTTTTATATTTTATTATTTTGGTTTCCTGACTATAAAATTGCTAGCACTAAAGTGGAAAAAAAATACTGATTATCACACAAAAAAAGTTTCCTTATAGAAAATAAACTGAACATTCATCTTTTTTTCCAGTAGAGGAAATTTCACAATGAGGAGAGCAGTAAGCAGAATTTATTAAGTAAAATAGCCACTTATTTATTATGGTTCATATTTTAGTGGTAAAATTGATTGCCTTTAATAGATAACAGGTTTTGTTATTTTTACCAATTTTTTTTATCCTAAAACTTTAGAATATCTTATCACAAATGCCAAATGATGTGCTTTCAGAGGTTTAAACCTATAAAATGATGATGTGAAAATTAGTTCTATCTTAGTCTAAATACTTGCTTCCCTTTTAACAGGCATGAAGGATATGTACCAAGCAGTTATCTGGTGAAAAAATCTCCAAATAACCTGGAAACCTATGAGTAAGATATTTTATTTGTTTTTGAAAAACATGGTACTAAGAAATCCTCCCTAAGTTAGGAGCAAATTATTGGTTGACTATAAAAATTCCAGGTGTGTTCTTTTCTTGACCTGCTTTCTTCTCTCCCATACTCTAAACCCTAAACAGAAGGAGGGCACCCTAAATCAGAGGAGGAGGAGGAGGAGGGTATGTTCACTCACCTCCCATTTTATCAAAGGAATAATTCTTACCCTATAAAATGATGATGTGAAAATTAGTTCTATCTTAGTCTAAATACTTGCTTCCCTTTTAACAGGCATGAAGGATATGTACCAAGCAGTTATCTGGTGAAAAAATCTCCAAATAACCTGGAAACCTATGAGTAAGATATTTTATTTGTTTTTGAAAAACATGGTACTAAGAAATCCTCCCTAAGTTAGGAGCAAATTATTGGTTGACTATAAAAATTCCAGGTGTGTTCTTTTCTTGACCTGCTTTCTTCTCTCCCATACTCTAAACCCTAAACAGAAGGAGGGCACCCTAAATCAGAGGAGGAGGAGGAGGGTATGTTCACTCACCTCCCATTTTATCAAAGGAATAATTCTTAGGTGCCTGGGCAGATTGTCGTAAAGGGAAATGGTTCTACTGGGAATCCCAGGAGTATTGGTCTTACCTAGGAAGAAAAAAACACGTGAATGCTGGATCAAATTATAAACTGACTTAAAACTTAGCTTA